TGATTATAAGAGTCAAAAATCCTCGCGTGACCTGAACAAAGATTTGCTAACAAAATCGGACAGCTTGTAGCCCTCATCTATTGCTATCATTCAGTAAAACAGTTCGTTCCTTGTCGTTTGAGGGGAAAATGAAGCAAAATATTTCGCTGAGGAAGACTTATATATCTAATATCATCTCGCCGTTTTTGCGCGTGACCGTAAAAGCTTTGTTAATTTTTTTGACATATCTGCACTATGAGAAGAATGAACTTCCCTTTGTAATTGTTGTCAGAAACGTAATCCAAGCTTTAGCCGAAGGAAAGAAGACTCATGTTCCATTCCGGAATTCTACGCTCACAAGACTGCTTCAAGAGAGTTTGGGTGGAAACTGTAAAACAAGCTTAGTGGTGAGTTTGTAATGCTAGAGTGCTTTAATTTGCGACTAGACGACTTTGAAAGAAATTTTTGTTCCAAAGTATTTTCGTCTTGGCCAATGAGATGCAAGATAATGCGATCTAAATCACGCGATTTCCTTCCAAGCTTCGAAGGCTTCCTATAGTCACTCACTATGACCATATCTTGCACAATTTTACCTTCATCGCTTGGCGGGGTATCAACGTATCAGAATTACCCTACTTAAAACCCGTACTAAGTAATAAGACGGTATACGGTTTCTTTATCGTGATATTCTGGCCTGAGATACAGACTAAAATCTAGCGGTCCGTGAATTTTCGATATCTTATCATTAACTGATACATTTGTTTGGTTTCAGGTGTGTGTTTCACCTACAATGGGTGACGTGAGTGAGACGAAAAGCGCGTTGTTCTTTGGATCACGCGCCATGAAGATCACTAACACGGCTTACGTCAATGTGGAGGTGAGACTCAATTCAACAATACCTTCGTTTTGTTTACTTTGATCAATACCCAATTCTTTGTTTCGTTTCCGCCGAACATGTCCTAACCTGTGTGAGGGATCTCCACTCAACTATCTAATATGGGAATTGGTGCAGCGGTGATAAGGTAGAGAAGGAAGGTTTCCCTTCGTCTAATTTCTGAGCGAGCGACCCACTCACAAGCCAGTTGTAATATGCATCCTCTCACGGGTCTGATCTCACTCTCACTCCACAACTTTCCCAGCTACTGTGCAACAAACCCATCTCTTCACTGTCTGTGTTATCCCTCTCGTTTTAATTTTCTGTCGAAAATATTTCCAACTATAATTCAATATTATTTCATGACACTTATTCTCCAGGTTGATTACAAGAGGCTCAGCGAGGACTTGTCCAAGATTGTTGACATGAGAGGTACTTTTTTTTATACCGGTCATTATAAGGGAGATACCACTGAAAAGATTAAATTGCCATTCATGCAATAAAATAAACGTTATCTACCTCGTTTGAAGTTGTTGAGAGCGAATGCTAGGTGACAAAAAACAAAAGCATTCAACAATTTTCAATACTCGCTGATGGTATACAGAGTTAAAAATAGAGACTGAAGATGTCAATTAAGCTGAATATTTGAACTTCGTTTACAGAAAAAGATTTGGAGGAGTTAAAGCAGTCTTATGAGAACAGGATCGAGCGACTGAAACACGAAGCCGAGGCAACGGTGGCAAGTGCCATGGCCGAGACAGACAAGGTGGTAGCAACAGTGAAGAGTCTTTATGAGAACGAGGTAGATACGATCATTAACTTGTGTTCACAATTTAGAATAGAAGTAACTGGTGATATGACACTGAAAAGAAAAGCAAACACCTTCTAAACTTGCCTAGAACCTAGGCCTCTACATTTGGCCGCCGTCAATTCGTATACGTCGCCAAAATGAATTGACCGTGAAGGCCTGGAAGAAAGCCGCACAGGAATAAGGCAAGTCCCAGGTTTCGTTTTTCTTTCGTCTTGTTTCGTCTCCCGGAAAAGGTTGCTACACAAACTTAAAACACTCTATCCTTGTTCTTATATCAATGAGACACGCAGACCTGAGTTTTATGTCACAAAAAAGACTAAAACAAGAACAACAAGAACAACAATAATAATGGGAAGCAATATTATACTGCAAAAGTAAAATTTCAACGTGAATGTAATCGCTTCAACACCTCTCTCTATTTAAATTAATTTGCTTAGTTTTGTTTTTTGTTTTTTCCTTTTTTGCAGCAATCAAGTTTACAAAGCGATATCGAAGGTCTAAACTCCCGCTTGGAAGAAGAAACTACACGCACAGCAAATCTTCNAATGCGATCTAAATCACGCGATTTCCTTCCAAGTTGCGAAGGCTTCCTATAGTCACCCACTATGACCATCTCTTGCACAATTTTGGCTGCATCGCTTGGCGGGGTACCATGATGTAAGAATTACTCTACTTAAAACCCGTACTAAGTAATAAGAGTACACGGTTTCCTTATGGTGATATTCTGGCCCGAGATACAGACTGAAATCTTGCGCTCCGTGAATTTTCGACGTCTTATTGTTAACTGATACATTTGTTTGGTTTCAGGTGTGTGTCTCCCCTACAATGGGTGATGTGAGCGAGACGAAAAGCGCGTTGTTTTTTGGTTCGCGGGCCATGAAGATCACTAACACTGCTTACGTCAACGTGGAGGTGAGACTCAAGTCAGCAATACTTTAATTTTATTTTCTTTGATCAATGTCAAATTCTTTCTTTTGTTTCCGAGCATGTTCTAACCTGTGGGAGGGCTTTCCTCTCTATTATCTAATACGGGACGGTAGGGCGGTGATAAGTTAGAGAAGCGAATGTTTCCCTTCGTCTTCTTCCCGAGCGAGCGAACTACTCACAGGCCAGTTGTAATATGCATCCTCTTACGGGTCTGATCTCACTCTAACTCCACAACTTTCCTATACCCTGCGCAACAAACCCATCCCTTCACTGCCCCGTTTTTTGCCCTTTCGTTTCAATTTTCTGTGGAAAATAATCTCCATTATAATTCAATATTTATTTTAATTTCTAGGTTGATTACAAGAGACTCAGCGAGGACTTGTCCAAGATTGTTGATATGAGAGGTACTTTCTATTAAACCTGTCATTATAAGGGAGATCCCACTGAAAAGATTAAATTACCATTCATGGAACAAAGTAAACGTTATCTATCTTGTTTGAGGTTGTTGAGAGCAAATGCTAGGTGACAAAAAGGAAAAGCATTCAACAATTTACAATACTCGCTGATGGTATACAGAGTTAAGAATGTAGAATGAAGATGTCAATTAACCTGAATACTGTGAACTTTGTTTACAGAAAAAGATTTGGAGGAGTTAAAGCAGTCTTATGAGAACAGGATCGAGCGACTGAAACACGAAGCCGAGGCAACAGTGGCAAGTGCCATGGCCGAGACAGACAAGGTGGTAGCATCAGTGAAGAGTCTTTATGAGAACGAGGTAGATATGAACATTAACTTGTGTTCACAATTTAGAATAGAAGTAACTGGTGATATGACACTGAAAAGAAAAGCAAACACCTTCTAAACTTGCCTAGAACCTAGGCCTCTACATTTGGCCGCCGTCAATTCGTATACGTCGCCAAAATGAATTGACCGTGAAGGCCTGGAAGAAAGCCGCACAGGAATAAGGCAAGTCCCAGGTTTCGTTTTTCTTTCGTCTTGTTTCGTCTCCCGGAAAAGGTTGCTACACAAACTTAAAACACTCTATCCTTGTTCTTATATCAATGAGACACGCAGACCTGAGTTTTATGTCACAAAAAAGACTAAAACAAGAACAACAAGAACAACAATAATAATGGGAAGCAATATTATACTGCAAAAGTAAAATTTCAACGTGAATGTAATCGCTTCAACACCTCTCTCTATTTAAATTAATTTGCTTAGTTTTGTTTTTTGTTTTTTCCTTTTTTGCAGCAATCAAGTTTACAAAGCGATATCGAAGGTCTAAACTCCCGCTTGGAAGAAGAAACTACACGCACAGCAAATCTTCAAGGCGAGATAACCGTGGCGAAATGTAAACTTCAAGAAGATATGTTTAGAACAAGAAGCACGCTGTTAATTGACATCATCTCCATGCAACTTTTTTACGCGCTCAAAGATATTTCTCTCGATGATGCTGTAATCCTCCCTGAAAGCGAACTTAAGCAAAAAGATGGTTTTACTCAATGGACTGTAACTAAAAGCAAGCTTCTGGAAAACACCGATCTTCTTTTGGAATTGTTCCAAAGCTATCTAAATGTGCTGAATTCCAAAGGAGAAAAATTGTTGGACAATTGCGGGAGTCTTAGAAGTTTGATTGGAGCAGAAGAGTTATTGGACGAGAGAACACTGCTGCGCGACACGGAAGACGTAACGTTGTACTTGACAAATAAAACGGACGATGACAAGGTGGTTGCGTCGTCACGCTGTAACGAAAACCTACTGGAGTCACACAACAAGGAACTTACTGAGGAAAAAGTTCCTGAGGCCGAGGAGCATTCCTGTTTAAGGGACAAACTAGTTTCACTCAAACGCTGTGTCGACGGCGATGCTTTGAGTTTCCTCAAGAAAGCATTTAAACTTGATCTAGAAAACGAAGGAAAAACCACAGACTCCAGGCAAGATATCTACAAAAGAATACAGGAATTTATGGACCAAACGAATTCTGTTCTGGGTTAGTGAGTAAAATTCGTAGCTTTTTCATCTGTCATCACGCTTGATGATTTTCTTTCTTCTGCTCACATACCTAATTTTACCTGTTTCGCGTAAGGGAAATTTAGATCCTAATTGGAACTCAGTTAAATTAAATTCACCAGAATTGAAATCCCATAGTTAGTAACGATAGTAAGTATTTGCACGAATTGCGGACCTATATGGCTTGCAGAAAAGAGAGGGTTTTGCACTAAGTCATTGCAAACAAAGAGGGTTTTTTTATTTAAACATATTTCTTATTGTTTTCCCCAAAAGACATTTGATATGAGTAAAAGTA